AGACAACACATGCGGGTGTGGCGTCCTCTTAACAATATTTTTGATTTGTAATAACTAGGTAAACCAACATTTTATAAATTGATTTGGTTCGTGTTTGATGGTAAAACATAGTCTTAAATAATTTAATTATCAAATCAATTGCACAAATGTTTTAATTAGGACTACATACCAATAAAAATTTTATATTATTGAATAATGTAATAAAATTGATTAAAATATAAGGTCATATWAAAACATTTAGGCTATTAGCAATTCTTAAAATGTTTATACTTCAAAAATTGATTAAAATAAATGTTTAATTTTTAGATTATTCGTCAGCAACAATGTCGGTTCCTAGTCAATTGAAAATTGACAACTGGGGTAATTTCTTCATGCAGCGTCTCAACAACTTGGCCAAAAAAGATGAATACTGCGATTATACCATTCGTTCAGTGTCAAATGAATCTTTTAAAGTCCATAGAGTCGTTTTAAATACATGTTCAGATTATTTTGTTTCTCACCCGAGTACTGACAAAACAATGACAATGCCTGGACATCTGGACTTTGATGCAGTTAAGAGTGTTATCATGTTTATGTATACCGGACAACTTCATTTCACTGAAGACAGTCGTATGAGTTTAATCGAAGTAGCTGACATGTTACAGGTTACTGTGTTACTAAAGCTCCTGGAGTCACAGAATGGAGCAAACAAATTAACTCCTAAGTATCACTCTCCACAAGCTTCAACATCTAGAACTCATTCAGCAATCGCACTAAATCAATACAGACCTGCGAAGAAACCAACCACTCAAACTAGTATGACCATTAGATCACCACCAGAACATACACCGGCATCTACTTTTATTAATACAATGAAAGTGAAAGATGTTTTGAGTGAAAATAAACCAATGCGGTTTGAATGTGATGCCAATGACGTACCTGAGTTTATAGAACAAACTTTTGAATTACCCAAGTATGATAGTGCGCCATTAATTAAACAAGAAAATTGTGATAGTGCAAAGGCCATGCTCAAAAGAGCTTCCAATGGAGAATTGATTGATAAGAGCATGGACAAGGGTCATAAAACCCAAGTCATTAAATGTGAGGCTCAAAATATATTATCGCCAGCAGGCAAGAAATTGAAAATTGTCAGTGATACTGACCCAGAGAACACCAATAGCAAAGTAGTGCAAGAAATCTTAAAGAAATACCCACATTTATTGCAAAGTAAAGGTAACATAAAATTGAAAATTATGTCTAGTACTAATCAAAGCCAGTTTGAAAGTATAATTATTAACACTCCTAATTCAGTGGAGAAAATTTTACCAGCTGGGAGTGGTGTTAAAAAACCAATTACCACTCACAAAGTCAAGCCAGATATCATGAACATAGTTGGACCTTGGTCCTGTAATCTTTGTGGAACYGACACCAATCCATTGAAATTAGATTCTTATTTTATTTATCGGAGACATTTGGTAGAAAAACATAATGAGAAAGAAGACACTAGAGTTTGTGAACACTGTGGACACTTTTCTGTACGTAAGAGCCTGCAAGTACATCACATGTACACAAAACACAATATTCAACCGCCTGCTGATTTCAAGTTTCCTCAGTGTGACGATTGTGGATTTATTGCAACGACTGAAGTTCATTTAAAACGACATAAGAGTTTGGAAAAATGTGGCATTAAACCACAACCTAAAACAGAATATGGAAATTATACGTGTACTGAGTGTGATAGGACTTTCCGTTCAAGTTTGATGCTCAAAGGACATTTGAGAAATTTTCACAAAGTCGATAACATTATCCCATCGACTTCATCAACCAAAGAGCTATTGATTTCTGTTATTGATAATATACCACCTGGGGCTAAAGTTTTAGCTGAAAATAATATTATAAACGAAACTGTTGATCTAGAAAAAGGTGAAGAAGTGATATATAGTGAAGAAACTACAGAAGTAGAAACTGTGACACTAGAAGATGCTGAACAGGTACTTAAAGAAAATGATGATGATTGTAAATCTACCGTACCAGTTGACCTCACAGAAGAGTGGGATGATTTTGATGATGTAGATACAAACAAAAATGAAGAATCCGACAAAGAAGACAACAGAGATGCTAAACCTTGTAGAATAGAATTAGAGTGAGTCAAATACAAAAATRTATTGTACTAGTATTCAGAATATTGTTTAATATTTACTGTAATAAAATGTAGTATTTGAAATCATTCAATACCATATTTATTTTAAAATATGTATTCGTACATATCTTTTAGTTAATGTAAATAAAACACTTGACTGGATATTAWATTGGTAATAAAGTTTAAGAAAAAAATTAGCAATTATTTATTTATAATTTTACTTACATAATTATTATTTACCATTTAGAGCTTGATATTAAATTAKGAATCTTAATTTATTAGATACCTTTGTAGTGAATGATACCAAGTTTTYTTTTTGTCGTTGATTATAGTATTAGGCATATTTAATTATGTAAAAATTATTTTAATATCATACTACACAATATATGTATAATATATTGTGTACTTGTGTAATACATTAAAATAATGCAATTGACATAGCTTTCATGAATTAAAGCGATGGTATTCCACAGTATTAAAATAATTTTCAATAAATTGAAGTTTAAACGTATCAAAAAATGTGATATTTTTGTATATTTATAAAATGTATTGCTTGCCTATATTATTATATTACTTAATTTAGCAATTTGACATAAATATGGTTGTAAATCATAAAGTTAAAAGAAAAAAGTAAATA